CATTGTTGTTTGGTGGGCCCGGGCTGGATTCAAACCCGCCACCTTAGGTGTATGTGGCTGGCACCTTAGCCACTTGAGCCACAGGCACCAAGCCGATAAACACATTTATAATGAATGGTGGCTCTGTAGAGAAGTACTACTTTTTATTTTTTTCTTTTTTCCCCCTTTTTCTTATTTTAAAGATGAGAGTGAGACACAGGAAAGCATTAGTTATTTGCCCACAGTTATCCAATTAATGAATGACAGAGCTGGGGTTGGAACCTAGGCAACCAAGTCCAGAGCCTGAGTTGATAGGATACATTCTCAGTAAAGCATAGGAAGTAACTGAAATCAGATGGGGAAAGTTAGTACTTGAGGATTAGTGGCATCTCAAGAACAAGGCGTATGAGCTTGGACTTTTCTGAGTTTTTAAAAACATGGTCAACTATTGGCTCAGTGCCTGTAGCACAGGGATTATGGTACCAGCCACATACACCAAAGGTCACGGGTTCAAACCCGGCTGGGGGCAGCTAACCAACTGCAACAAAAAAATAGCTGGGCGTTGTGGTGGGTGCCTGTAGTTCCAGCTACTTGGGAGGCTGAGACAAGAGAATCACTTAAGCCCAAGAGTTTGAGGTTGCTGTGAACTGCATGCCACGGCACTCTACTGAGGGAGACATAATGAAACTCTCGTCTTGAAGAAAAATAAAATAAAATAAAATAAAAACATGATTAACTATTTTGTTTCACTTTTTATAAATATTTCATATTCTTTATTTTATTTTTTTTGCAGTTTTTGGCTGGGGCTGGGTTTGAACCCACCACCTCCGGCATATGGGCCCAGCACCCTACTCCTTTGAGCCACAGGCACCTCCCCCAAATTTCATATTCTTAAAGAACCGTAACACTGTGTAGCACTCACAACTTACAGAAATATAAGGAGAAAAAAAAATTTTTTTTTTTTTTTTTGAGACAGAGCCCCTGGGTAGAGGGCCATGGCTTCACAGCTCACAGCAACCTCCAACTCCTGAGCTCAAGCGAGTCTCTTGCCTCAGCCTCCCAAGTAGCTGGGACCACAGGCGCCCACCACAATGCCCGGCTAGTTTTTGGTTGCAGCCGTCATTGTTGTTTAGCGTCCGGGCTGGATTTGAACCTGCCACCTCAGGTGTATGTGGCTGGCGCCTTAGCCACTTGAGCCACAGGTGCCGAGCCAAAAAAAAATGTTTTACCCATGAATCCAAGATGTAAAGATGGTAATGTTAAGGTTATAATGTATTTCTATTTAGTGGTTCTTTATTTACTTAAGTTTCAAATTTTTTATTATGCTTTTTGAATATTTTCACCTTTATCTGTGTAACTATGAATGTTTACAAACACTACCAAGAGAGAATAAACTAGTGAACTGCCATATTCTGTCATGCTCATTGTTATTTTTCTTATTATTATTGTGCCTATGACTATTTCTTCATTTTCAAAAACTTTAATATAACATTTATATAGCTTTTTTTTTTTTTTTTTTGAGAAGGATTTTCCTTTTGTTGCCTTGGGTAGATGTATAGTGTATAGTGCCTTACATCATCATAGCTCACAGCAACCTCAAACTCTTGGGGTCTAGAGATCCTCTTCCCTCAACCTCCTTAGCTGGGACAACAGGCACTTGCCACAATGCCCAGCTAGGTTTTCTACTTTACTATTAGTAGAGACAGTCTTGCTCTTGCTCAGGCTAGTCTTTAACTCCTGAGCTCAAGCAATCTACCCGCCTTGGCCTCCCAGAGTGTGATTACTGACAGGAGTCACCTTGCCCACCCTTTATATAATTTTATTTCTTGAGGAAAGTTATAAAAAATAGTATCAGCCGAATATCACTATGAAGATACCTGTAACCAGAGACAGCTTAATGTAGCTTTCTGTAGCAAGGATGCCCACATACCAGGGTAATCATGGTGTATCTTGATAAAGAGGCATTTAAGGAAGAGCTGGCTAGAAGATTTCACATAACATGCCATCTTCATTTACAATTTCCTCATTCCCCCCATTTACAGTTAATCCTCAAATATACTGTTGTTGTGTTGCAGTTTTTGGCTGAGACCAGGTTTGAACCCACTACCTTCGGTATATGGGGTTGGCACCCTACTCCTTGAGCCACAGGTACTGCCCCATAATCTTATATATTATAGTACATAATATATATTAAATAATGTATATCTATTAAATGACTACTAATAGGAGTTGTGTTACCAGTTAGATAATGCTAGGTAACAGATAAGATTCTTTTTTTTTTTTTTTTTTT